GACTGCATTCTCTCCCCCCTCCCCCTTCATTCATCTGCCTCTCTCCTCTTCACCTCACCTCTCTTCTTACATGTACCCATTTCTCAGTACTGGTTATGTTGGGCTTTGACCTAGTCTTTCTAAAACATTATACTGTTTGAGCTCTCCATAGAGACTATCATACTTCAGTTAATTCATTTGTAACCAGTTGGATATGACCCATCTCAACATGTTTACTTATACAGATTTATAGGTGCATTCTATCTACCACAAATTAGGAAAACCATGCAGCATTTGTTTCTCTGGGCCTTACTTCACTGAACATAATTTTTTTCCTTTCCTTATGAATGGTAAAATACCATTCTATCTAACAGATGAGTAAAATTTACTGTGTATATATACTACATTTTCTTGATCAAAATTTTACTGTGTATATATACTACATTTTCTTGATCCACTTGTCCATTGAGGGGTGTCTGGGCTGATCCCCAGTGTTGCAGTGAACATGGTTGTGCTGATGGCTTTCCTGTAAACTTGTTTTGTGTTCCATTGAGTAAATGCCCAGGAATGGGATTCCTGAATCATAGGGTAGTTTTGTGTTTAGTTTTTGAAGACCTCAATATTGCTTTCCAAAGTGGTTGGACAAGCTTACATTCCCACCAACAGTGTATTAGAATTCCCTTTTGGCCACATCCTCACTGTTTTCTCCATGATGGCCATTCTAGCTGGGGTGAGATGAAATATCAGCATTATTTTTGTTATATTTTCTGTAAAATTAATTATGGTTCTGTCTGTTGTAAGGTGAATCATCCCAGAAGCCACATTTTTGGAATAGGAAATATTGGAGTCTTTATTACAACACTAGGAGTCTGCATGTGGAACATTGTTACAAAGGCCTACAGCCCCCAAATACACAACACAGCTAAGAAAGACACTAGAGAGCAAAGAAAGAACAAAAACAATAGCAACACGCCCATTCAGCTCCAATGGAGGGTTGAATTGGGACTCATGATGACCAGACACTAGCCTGGAGACACGACACAGGACAGGATCATGGACACGTGGCATGGTGTAATGGTGGCTAGGCTGAACGGGGCCTAAATAGGGCCGGAGCAGGGGGCGGATCCTCAGGAAATTCCCAGTCCTAGGCTCTGGACTGACAGATTCAGTAACCTATCAGCCATGTGCCCAACCCTGCCTCAGGGGATCCAGGCATGCCCATCACCAGGGGCGGTTTCCCTCCTTCAACATGAAGACAAGATGCCAGACCCTACCACCCAACTATGTGGAAGATGCCAGGCTCTACCATCCAACTATGTGGAAGATGCCAGGCCCTAACATCCAACTATGTGGCCAATATGGCACCAGCCAGACCTGACCTCCTTCAGTTCTAGTGGTTAAATGAGTACCGGGAGAGCCTGTAAGATCTTTAGATTTATGAAGTCAAAATCGGTATGTTATTTCCAATTGTCCTGCAAGCCAATATCAAATAGGATAGAGCTAAGAAAAACCCCTTGAAACGTCTAGAAGTCTGACCTTTCATCCTCTATATATTGAAAGAAAGTAACTAAGAGAAGTTGTTGGGCTTACTTATTTGGTTGTTCGTTTGTTTTCAATTTAGAATTCATGGGTTATACCTGTAAGCAGTATGCCCACCTTTGGTCCTCAGCTCCTCCCAGACCTGCTGGCCCCTCCCTCTCTCCGCCCAGACCCTCCTGAATTCCCATCTACCTCACTTCCTATCCCCCAGACCCTGCTGCTACCTAGATAGCAGAGGCTGCATGTGCTCTCTCTCTGGGGGAAATATGGCTCCTCTAATGAATCTTGTAATAATCTTTCTCCTGTGCCTGTCTGCTTCCAGGTGGAGCCCTGGGATGGATGGGCTGGATCCTTTCATGGATCTTTTCAATACCAAGATTATTTCATGCAGAAATTTTACATAAATTAAGTACATTTTGGACAATGCATTTTGAGTGCGCCCACCCCATCTATTATATGTCTTTGTCCCTCCTCCTCCTCCTCTTTGTTCCATTCCTTTTTAAAATAATCTTTAGCCGGTTTCTTTATAGCATCTCTATGCACATATGTGTAATGTATCTCCATCCTCATCAGCCCCTGGAACTGTCTCCATTTCCCCTGCCTATCTCATTGAAACCTTTGTATACTATCTCTTTTGTACTCATCTCATTATTATTGTTATTGCTGATGCTTGTTTTTAGTTGATTTTGGACGTAGGTTCTACCTAGGACTGACAATATGAGAGATTTGGCTTTTTGTGCTTCCTTATTTCCCTCAATATGAAGATCTCACGTTCTATTTTCCTGCAACTGGTGTAATTTTATTCTTCTTTATGGCTAAGTCTTATTGAGAAAAGGTTGAGCTTCGGATGGGGAAAGAAATGAATAAGATGAACCACAAATTTTTTTCAAAGAAATGCTTTTTTGAACGATAACCTATATTGAAGTGAGGAGGTCAGGTCTGGCCCGCGCCATATTGGCCACATGGTGGATTATAGGTCTGGCATCTTGTCTTCATACTGGGGGAAGGACCCCCCCTCCCACACACACACCCCAACACCTGCTTCCCAGGTAATGGGTGTGCCCAGACCCCTGGAGGCAGGGGCAGGCACTTGGCTGATAGGTTACTGAATCTGTCAGTCTAGAGCCTGGGACTGGGAATTTCCTGAGGATCTGCCCCCTGCACCGACCTATTTAGGCCCTGACCAGCCTAGCCGCTGGGCTCCATGCCATGTGTGTCTCCATGATCGTGTCCTGTGTCCTGTCTCCTGGCTTGTTTCTAGTCATCATGGAGTCCCAATTCAGCTCTCCACTGGAGCTGAAATGGCTTGTTGGTATTGTTCTTGTTATTTCTTTCCTCTTTAGCATTTTTCCTAGCTGTGTTATGTGTATTTGCATGCTGCAGGCCTTTGTGACAACTGGTGGCCTGTAGCCTGTTAACTGTATAATAAAGACTCCAATATTCTATATTTTAAAATGTGGCTTCTGGGATGATTCACCTTATAACAATATCAAAGGGACATAAGAGCCAGTCTGAGTTTCTTTATTCCTTGTTTGAAGGACATCTAGGCTGATTTTCTCCTTTGACTATGATGAGGGCTTGGGTGTTTATCTCAACTGGTGATTTATACTCTTAGATACAAACCCAAGGGTGGTGGTATGGCAGGGTCATAAGCTAGGTCTATTTTTAGCTTTTTGATGAAATTCTGTATTGATTTCCATAGTGTTCACACTAGTTTATACCCCCCACCAAATCCTCTGCAGGATTTGTTCTTATTGGTTTTCTTGATGACAGCCATTCTGACTGAGATGAGATGGACTCTCAATATAATTTTGATTTGCATTTTTTGATGGCTAAGGATGTTGGACATTTCCATTTGTGTTTCTTCTTCTGAAAACTGTTTGATTTATTTGCCCATTTGTTAGATTATTTTTGATGTTTTTATTTCTTTGATTTTTTTTGTTGAGTTGTTTGTATAGTCTGGATATTAATCCTTTATCTGATAAATAGCTGGCCAAGATTTTTCTCACATTCATTGGGTTGTTTTGTCATTCTAATTGTTTCCTTTGATATACAGAAGTTTTTTAATTTGATTCAGTCCCATTTGTCAACTCTTGTTCTCATTTCCTAGAGCACTGGTGTACTATGTTGAAAATACCTAACTGTGCCTTTATCTTCAAGAGATTTTCCCTTTGTCTTCCTGTAGTAGCTTCAATGTTTCAGCTCTTTTTTTTTTTTAAGTGGTAGAGGAAAATACACAATAATTCCAAGTTATTCTGTACAGGCATTAATGTTTTCTATATTTGTGCCAATATAGATTTATGGACATTGATTTGCTACTTTGGGTTCTAATCCAGTGCTATATTGTTTACTTTGTAAATCAAGTTTATCTATCACTGGCCACTCACAACTCTTTCTGTTTGGTTCTTCCAATATTTGACATAAATGATCACTCACCTCTTGCTCCATCTTACTCATTTCTTTCCCCAACCTTACCTCAGTCATTTCTTAAGAACCTTTGTTCTTAGTCAGAGTACTTAGTAAGACTGATATATAGCAGTACTAAGAAGGGCGTCTTTATCTCATTATGAATCTTAGAGAAAATCTCAACTTTCCCTCATTAAGTACAATATTAACTGTGATTTGTCATATATGGCCTTTATTGTATTGAGGTAATTTTATATCTAATTCCATGAGTTTTACCATAAAAGGTTACTGAATTCTAAAAAAAAAAAAAAAGAAGAAGAAGAAGAAGTACTTCTTAGTAGTCTGGCCACTGAGTGTGCTTGTTTGTAAGAGGTTGTCTTCATCTCTATATCCTCCCAGATCTAGGAGCTATGTTGTACTGACACTAATCCCCATATCACATAGAGTTTTCTCTTTCTTCGTCTGTATTTTTAATTTTTATTTTTATTGTCTTGAAGTAGTTGTACAAAGGAGTTGCCAGTTAGTAAAGCAGTTTATGAATACAAGATGTCTTGATCAATGAAACCCTCTTCAACATTCTTACTCATCCCTTTCCTACCCACCCCTTCTCTCATTCTTCTTAATTTTGTAGGATATACATTAGATACTTGTCTACATTCACCCCCTCTTCTCTTAATTTGCCCCTACCTTTTCCTTGACCCCACTCCTTTCAAGTACCCACGTCCTGGTGTTTTATTTTGCTGAACTTTGACTTGACCTTTCTAAGGAAGTGCACTATTTGCGTAGTTCTTCCCCATTTCAGTAGAAAAGCTGGACATATTTTAGGCTTAGATACAATCTCTAGACCAAATGTAACCAAGAAGGAACAAAATATCACTGTCGTTTCTGTACGTACTCCAAGCAAGCTTCTACTAGACCAAGTGACAGTTGTGGATAACGTTTATCCAGGGAGATGCAAAAGAAAAGATGGATAAGAGCAACTCCAGCATGAAAACCCACTGGTAAATCAGATAATGAACTCCATTTTCCGAGTAGAAAGATCAGTAACCACACTGTGTCTTTTGTTTTGCCCTCAGCTGGAAAGGCAGCTCCTGATGCAGAATGAGATGAGGGAACGGCAAATGGCCATGCAAATCGCTTGGTCTCGAGAATTCCTCAAATATTTTGGCACTTTCTTTGGTATTGCAACCATCTCTTTAACAGCGGGGTATGTTCGCTATTTAAGATTTTTGTTAAATAATGTGCTTCTTTCTGTCTTTACCATAATCATATCATTACTAACTTGGCTAAGATAGGGATTTAATCCTAATAGTGTATGTGTGTATAACATATATATGTAATACATATTTTATATACATATATGTATAACATGTATTATATATAGATGTATATATTAGCTTAGTCCTCAGGGGAAATACTATAAATCCAACATAAAGATGATTGATTTCACCTTTATTTCCTTGGATTTCTTTTGACCTTCTCTCTACTTTGTAAGTTAGAGGATTGACACCAAGAAAAGAGTTCTTTTATGGGTTTATCCACAGTCCCAGTTGGTCATTCTTAATTGTTATCCATTCTAAAAACCAAGAATCTGAGCCTCAGAGTCCAATAAAAATGAGCAAACCATAGAAGTACCTTTGAGAACTCAGAATCCACTTGGGTGTATTGGATAAGGAAATCCTATTTCTATACATAAGTCACATGAATTCAATGCCTTGGGAATGAAGAATGCTCTTCCAGGAAAGCAGGTGGTTTTTCTTCAAATATAGGTAGGTAGATAGATAGATGATAGATAGATAGAAAGATAGATAGATAGATAGATAGATAGATAGATAGATAGATAGATAGATAGATAGATAATGTATATAACTTATTCCTTAATACCAGGTCTTTTTATTCTTGAAACAGAGCGATAAAACGAAAAAAGCCAGCCTTCCTCTTTCCCATTGTTCCGTTAAGTTTTATCTTCACCTACCAGTATGACTTGGGCTATGGAACACTCCTACAAAGAATGAAAGGTAAAACAGAATTTCTATTTCCTTGGTCATTGTTAAGGATGCTTTACCAAAGTTCATCATTACCTGCTGTCCTTTCTTGGGCTATGAGTCTATTGTTATTCTATCAGTCTACCTCCATGTGGGACAGGAAGGGCTGCATATCCCTCTTCAAGTATTAGGACTAAGGAACAGAGCATTTCATTCCTAGGCCTAGGAGACAGAGGGAGCATATGTTCTTAAAATTCCCATTTAAATATGGAAATGTATTTATGTGTAGAAAGTATGTTAAAATGTCCAGAGAATGGCTGGTATCATAGTGAACACAGCTGCACAATGAGCTGAGCAGTTGTTATTTTCTGTAAGAATCTAAAAACTGATTTATACCATTATTCCTAGGGAGAAATGTGTTGTGAGTTTCAAAATGGAATAAAGGCCATTTTAACCCAGAAGCTGACTATACATACTAGTGCACTAAGGTTAAATCTCATTCCCATGATCTTCTCAGTTTCATGTAACTCATTTGCATAAGAACTCACTCAGCCAGGCACTGGTGGCTCACACCTATAATCCTAGCTACTCAGAAGACTGAGATCTGAGGATCAAGGTTTGAAGCCAGCCTGGGCAGGAAAGCCCATGAGACTCTTATCTCCAATTAACCTCCAGAAAACTGGAAGTGGTGCTGTGACTCATAGTAGTAGAGCACTAGCTTTGAGCAAAAAACAAGCTCAGGGACAACAACCAGGCCCTGATTTAAAGCCCTGAAACTGACAAAAAAAAAAAAAAAGAACTCATTTCATTCAAGCTCAACCCAGTGTCATGTTTATATGGAGACTAGAATTCTGAATGTCTTATTTTAAAAAAATGATAAGAGCAGCTAGTGGCTCACACCTGAGGAGGTTACTCAGGAGGCTACTCAGGAGGCTGAGATCTGGGGACTATAGTTCTGAAGCCAGCCTGGGAAGAAAAGTTCCCATGAGACTCTTATCTCCAATTAACCACTCAAAAACTGGAAGTGGCTCTGTGGCTTAAGTGGTAGAGTGCTAGCCTTTGGCATAAAAAGGCTCAGGGACAGTACCCAGGCCCTGAGTTCAAGCCCCACACCAACCAAAAAAGAAAAAAAAACATAAGAAATTGCAACTGCCTTGTATTGCACTCACTTGCACGTGTTACTAAAGGAAAGCAAGTTTATTTTCCAGAAAACTCTCTATATCTGCAAAGTAACTTTATACACCTCTATAGTTTAGACATTTCAAATTTTAAGGTATGTTGTATGAATTTCCTGCTTAAATGCAGCTCTAGAATTCATTGGGAAATTTCCAGCAATGCAAGGTTTTAGGGTATTTTTGTCTTGTTAGTAATCATGACTTCAAAATATAAAACTTTGTTTAACTAAATCTTGTTGAACTGTATCTTAGTTGTTCATCAAGGCTTGCCTAATTATTTATGATTTTATAATCATTTTAATTCTGATTTATGCCAGACAAATAATCAGATGGCTAAATGGCTCTTATAATTTGAAACCTATGTCCTGTCTTGTTGGGTTTGAAATACAGTTAAATGATAAATGCAGCCAAGTGTGGTAGAACACACCTTTAATACTAGCATTCAGGAGCCTGAAGCAGGAGAATTGTAAGTTCCAGGCTAGTCTCGACACCATGGTCAGATCCTGTCTCCAAAACAAGCAGAAAGATATGTGTGTTAGGAGATAGATAAGCTAAGTAACTTCATCTGGCCGATATATAAAACATCTGTATACACAAACACCAACTTGTATATAAATTTGCATACGTACACATTTTTACTAAAAAATGAATTAAGCAAGTAAATAGTGTACTCAGGAAGATGATGTCCAGGAAGCATTTTAAGAATTGATCAATATGTGTTCCTCTGGGGGCTATGTAACTTCTCCTGAGGAAAGTAGGTGAAGGTACATCTGGGGAGCTGGCTCCAGACAGTGTCATAGCTTTTCCCTACAGTGCCATAAGGCGAAGCTGAAGACATACTGGAAACAGAAAAGACTAAGTTGCAGCTTCCCAAGGGAATAATCACTTTTGACAGCCTCGAAAAGGCCAGGAGAGACCAGAGTAGTTTCTTCATAGACAAATGAAACCCTGCGTACACACGTCATCGCCGGATGAGCAAGATGTTGGCTTGAATCATGGTTTTTACAGGCTTTTTTTTTCCAGTGCTCCAGATTTTGATAGAACGAATTTTATACTAAAATATTAAAAGGCAAGCTGAGTTTTATTGAATCAAATTTGTAATTTTCAACACAAAATTCATGTGGGCACTCTAAACACCTTTCGGAGTTCCTCTGTGTGTGTTTTTGTAATAATGACCTTCGTGAAAACGTAATAAATTTTCTCATTTTGAATTCCTAGACTGTCCTGCAAATGTCCTGCTGCTGGCCGTTCTCTGTTGCCACTGCCCCATCACGTCACAGCCAATTCTCACACACGTTCTTATGCGAAACGATCAATTGTGTCCTGTCTCCACATAAAGGAACAGCAACCACAGAGGGGTGAGCTGAATGGCTCACCCAAAGTCATGCATAGGCAGAACTTGGAATTGAACCTGGAGAATTTGGTTAGCTCCAGTATCTGTGCTCTAAAAGGACTTGAAAAGGCTAGGCCTCCATGTGTGCTTCATCAGCAAACAAATGGCTCTGGAGAGAAAAGCCAACAACATTCAAACAATGACTCAGAACATCATTGCAAGAGAGGGAGGAAAGGGTCGTTAGGATGCCTGCCTTTGTTTATGTGGATTCATGGGCAAACTCACACTCATAAAATACTCCTATTTATCCATTTATCCTCCAGATGCAAACCCTACCTAATACATTCATTCCCAAGATACATATTCAGGCCTATTACTGTCACTATAGAAGGGACTGACATATCAGTGAGGGAAGAGAAGCTCCCTGATTCTCCTGCTCAGAGGAGTTATGTCCTAATGGGGGGGGTGGGAGGGCAGGAGGGCAAATGATAAAAGATGGAGACAGGGGCAAATGCTTCAGTGGAAATAAAATAGAATGATTGGGAAGATGAGGCAGGGCTGCTTTCTATCTAGGTCTGCAAAGACTGTTTCTGTGCAGAGGTGACATGTGAGCTGAGACCTGAATGATCAAAAAGTCTGTGAAAAGCATGATGGGAACCAGAAGGGCAAAGGAAGGAGCCAGAGGACCAGCTCTGAGGCTAATACGATGGGGTTCCTACCTTCAAGGTGCTAACAATACATCAACGGATGCATCATAATTATAGAGAACCGTGGGTCAAGTCTTGAAGGATAGATAGATGATCTCCATGAAGACAGATAAGAAAGAAGGGATTAGAAGGACATGGATTAGAAGAGGATGAGAGCTGGGCACTGTGGTTCACACCTGTAATCCTAGCTACTCAGGAGGATGGGAATCATGGTTCAAATCCAGCTTGGGCAGGAAAGTCCATGAGACTTTTATCTTTAATTATCATAAAAAGCCAGAAGTGGACCTGTGGCTTAAGTGGTAGAGCACTAGCCTTGAAAAAAAGAAACTCAGGGATAGCGCTTAGGCCCTGAGCTCAAGCTCCAGGATTGGCATTTAAAATATTTTTTTTAAAGAAGAGGGGATAGGAAAATAGACTTGGATTACAAAAAGAAGGCTGTGCACAGTGGTAATGTGATTGCTTAGCAAATAGGCCCGAAGTTTATATCTTAGCACTACCAAGAGAGAAAGAGAATCAAATGCAAAAATAATCTTCAAGCAATTTAATATTCCTAAAATGAATATGAGCTATCAAGAATTCATGATACATTTTTTTTAGGTTTCAACAATTTTGATAAAGAAATGTTCAAATTTGCTATTCTAGAGACAAATGTCTCTATTCCTGGACAGGAATACCTTTTTTTTTCTGGTCCTGGGGCGTGAACTCAGGGCCTGGGTGCTGTCCTTGAGCTTCTTTTACTCAAGGCTAGCAGCACCACAGCACCGTTTCTCACCTTTTCTGAGTCTTTTATTGGAGATAAGCGTCTTACAGACTTCCCTGCCCCCACTGGCTTCAAACCACGTTCCTCAGACCTCAGCCTCCTGAGTAGCTAGGATTACAGACATGAACCATGGATACCTGGTGAGGAATAAACTCTTGATTGAGAAAATACATCTAGTTAATGCCATTAGCTACACACAGTCTTTCTTGGCCTTGGATGTGCCTATTAGTGAGAGGACTGGAATGTTCCCTTGGGTTTGGCCTTGTGAATTCCCACAGAAGATGTTAGTAATATTGGGCACATTTCTGAAAGCCCAGTTCTCTGAAAGCAGTTTCCAGCATTTCTCCCCTCAAGGCTAATTTTTAAAAATATCTCCTTGAATCTTCCTACTGGTGACTTTGGATTGAGCTTGTGATTTATGAAGATGAGAGCTATCCTCAGAATATATTCTGTAGTCAAGATGATTCGGAAGAGGAAGAATCAGGTAAGTCTAGGGAAAAAAAAAAACAAAGGAATCAAGGAAGCACATTCTTCAGGAAGAGAGGGAGGTGACTCAGATGCTTCCAATGGTAGAGAGAAGATGAGCATGGAGGGTCATGGTGTGAGGCTGGTATGGGAAAAGTGCTAGCAAGACCCTTCCTTAAAAACAAGCTTGGCATAATGGTACAAGTCTGCAATCCCAGCTGTTTAGGAGATAGAAATAAGGAGGACTGTAGTCGAAGGCCAGCCCAGGCAAAATCATGAAGCATAGCTCAAGTGTCTAGAGCCCTTGTCTAGCAAACACAACGCCATGAGTTCAAATACCAGCATCAGTAATATTTTTTAAACCTATATCTATATGACGTTGCATGGATCTTGGGAATGACCACAGCAAAATGATTAAATAGGAAACACAAGCTTTCATTCTCCCCCCCACAAAAATGTAAAACAACTAGTTTTCCATAAACCAAAATAGACCAGAGACATCTCAAGTACTCATTAAGGGCTTTGTAGCAACACAGTGGAACAAGGGAACCAAAAAGTGGAGACTTCTTCCACTGAGAGGACAGTAGATGAGCTCTTCACCCTGAAAACAGCAGGAGCCATGAAGAAGGCCACAGGTGACTGATATCAGCCATGCACCCCCTAGCAGGAAACACCACATTCTCAAAAGGATGTCACACATCATTTATTTATTCCTTCCTGGAAACCCCAGAGATGGAGACTTAGCTGCATAACCTCAATGCTTTGTGCCCTGATCCACAACCCACCCAAATACTACCGCTCTGCTGCAAATACCCACATGTCAGAGATGCTGGCCCCTTTGCTGTATGGAACTAATTTGTATCCTGGACCATTGAAACTTCAACTCTGTCCTTCTGTATGTCTGTTCTTAACTCTCTATCTACTTCATTTGCACCTACGCTTCACATACCAGTACCATTTTTGGAGCCTCAGATAGAAACGCCATTATTGTCCCAGGCCTCTGAGTGGTAGCTCTTTCACAAGCCCATGGCTAATCCGTAAGGAGATGCACTGGATTACTTATGCCACCATCATGAAGGAAGGCCTTGAAGAAGGTACCAAGAAGGATACTTGTAGCTATAACTTCAGGGGGGGAAATAAAGAGATTGGGAAGATCTCAGTAGCCATTGCCGCTGAAAACTCCAAAACCCCTCACACCACTGTGGGTATTCATAGCAAAAAAAAAAAAGGAAGAGGGGGTTAGGGTTATGGCACAAGTGGTATATAGCTGGACACAATGGTGCATGCCTGTCACCCAAGCAATACAAGAGGATAGAGCAGAAAAGTCCCCCAAGACTGTCTCCACCAAAGATAAGCAAAAGTCCAGCAAACTCCATTTCTACAGAAGAAGCTGGGCATAGTGGTGTGCACGTGTGTTCCCAGCTCTGGCAAGGCAGATCATGGTTCAGATTGGTGTCTGGTCAGGAAGCGAGGTGAGGTTTCAAAACGTATCAGCCAAAAAGAGCTGGAGGTGTAATGCAGTGGTAAAATGCCTGCCTAGCAAACATAAAGCCCTGAGTTCAAACTACAGTACCATCAAACAAACAAGAATAAAAATGAAGAAAAATAACCTTTAATTCATTAAATTCTTGTTCCCTAGCCCCATCATGGTCCAGGAAATGACCTATTTGGGTGAATATTTCATGTGCCCTCTAAAAGGATATGTTGCCTATCTTGTGAGGATAGATTGTTCTATAAATAGCAAACAAATACAGTTGATTGGACATATTTTTTTAATTGTGTGAGAGAGCCTGTTTCTCAAAGGCCTTGGGAAAACTGGATATCCACATGTGGAAGACTGAAACTGTCCCTGATCATTTGGCCAGGCCTTAAACTTGAAAATGCAATAGGCATAGGCAACTTTCTGAATAAGACTCCAACAGCTTAGAAAAATGAAAGCAAGAATTGATAGTATCAGTGCATCCGAGGGAAAGGCTTCTCCACATCAAAGGAAACAATTCCCAGATAGAAGAGAGAGCCTCCAGACTGGGAAGGAATCTTTGTGAGCTTCTCATCTGTCAGGGGACTAATACCCAGAATTTATAATGAACTAAAGAAAAAGAGAAAGAAAATTAAGCACCAAAAGCACAAATAATCCAATCAACAAGTGGGCAAATGTTCTAAATAGACAATTCAAAATAAGTACAGGTGGTCAAAAAATACATCCGTGAAATGTAAATTGAAAATACATTGACATTCTGTCTCACTCAAATGAGAACAGTTGTCACCAACAAAGCTAACAATAAATGTTGGTGAAGATTCAGGAGGAGAAGAAATACAGATACAGTGTAGTCATCACATAAATTAGTACAGCTGTTATGGGAATCTGTTCGAATGCCTATAACCTAAGAGAGGAAAAATAAATGGCAAATGGTGGTGAGAATTTGGAAGGAAAGGAGCATTTGCACACTGTGGGTAGAAATTCAAGTCATTCCAGTCTCCTTCCTCCAAGAAGATTCCACCTTCTACTTTCTACCACCTCCTCCCACCAAGGGATAAATCCATTGGCTAGGTGAGTCCTCGGGATGCCATCACTTCCCCAAATCCAGCAGCTGGCAACCAAACTTTTGAATATATGAGTCTCTAAGTCAGGTGCTGGTGACTCACTCCTGTCATTCTAGCTATGCTTGAGTCTGAGATATGAAGTTCAGGCTTGAAGCCAGCATAGGCAGGCAAATCCATGAGACTCTTGTCTCCAATAAACTACCACCTCCCCCAAAAAGCCAGAAGTGGAGCTCTGGCTCAAGTGGTTGAAAGCTAGTTTTGAGTAAAAGTAAAAAAGTTCCAGGACTAACACACACACACACACACACACACACACACACCACATACACATACACACACACACACACATTTATATAAATATATATATATGTAAATTCCTATACTATGAATATATTTACATTTATAATAGATAATAAATATTTATTCTATATATTTACATATATATTTAAATATATATGACACTGGGGGACACTTGAGAGTCAAACTGTATCACATGCAAGGTGACTGACATGTGAAAAGATGCTCCAGATCTTCCATCATTGAGGAAATATGAACTAGAGCAATGATGAGATCCATACTTAATTCAAGGATCAACCCAACTCATGGGTAGCTCCAAATGCAGCTGAGGAGGTGATACAAGAATTATGCTTCCTGACAAAGAGGAAATGTGTAAAGCTAGCCTCATTTTAAGAGATAATTAGGCAATTTCTTCCTTGGGATGGGACAGGGACCAATCCTGGGAATAGTAAAATCTGATTGTATTTCTTCTTCTAGAAAAAGAGGAGACAGTGACAGATTTGTCTTAGTAGTTTGACTATTTTAATCATCTCCTAATCATTCTGTTGGTGAGGAAGGATTTCTACCTTAAGATTCATGCAGATGCTCAAACAGGTGACAAGTGGGCAGAGAAGACAGAAGAACTGACTACAGTGCAGGAATCATAGAGCTTGTATGAAGTGGACAGGGGCGGCAAATGGGAGAAGGGTAGACAAGGACTATGTGTGGCAAGATTTGTGGCGAAAGTTGGAGGAGGTGACCCCTGGTTACACAAGACAAGGTTTATTGGCTTCTTGCAACTAATTCTGTGTGCTAGGAAAAAATTAAAACTTACTACTCTGAGATAAGCAGGAGGGTGCCTGGTTTTCTTGATAAGAAAGGTTGTTTGGCTGGAGGACTTTATCTACAGGAAGAAAATAGGAAAGGGAACTGTGGTTGGGCCAACTGAGGCCCTTCCATTTTAACCTGGTGTCCTGGCAGGACAGAACATTGGACATCAGTTTCAGGCCTTACTCCTAAAACTTGACATCTGATACTGCTACTTTGATCACCAATATAGACAGGAAGTAGTAGAAACTGGCTTACCAGGAAGTGAAATATGATTTGACAAAAAGAGAGACGCAATAATGATGATCATTAGGGTTTAAGTCATGTGGAGAACTATTAGTTTCATTTGTTAGGGGACAGCCAAATGGGAAAAAAAAGTCTAGTGTCCAAGATTCTTGATATGTTCAATTATGTGTAACATTATAAAATATGGGATTTTTCATCAATGTGGAGTTTTTAATCTTCATATGTTGTTGATCAATACACAAAAAGTAGTTCCTGGCAAACAGCACATTCCCTCTTGAAGAGTTAATGAACTTAGGAGGTTAGAGTCTTGGCTATTAGTTAAGAGTATGGGAGGCTTTGTACAGTTTTGAGAATAGTGTCATGGCCACTTGATGATTGATAGTAAATGACCTTTGATGGCTGGGTTAAGCCAGTCATGTTTAGTACTGTAACAGTGGTGCCAAATATGGTAACTCCCAAGAACAAAGAGACCAGTAATACTGCTCTTCTCATTTGGTGGGACTTCAGAAGGATTTGTAGCAATTATGCAACAAAATTGGAGTCATCGTATGTGCCTAGCATTCCATTTAAGGGAGATTATCTTCCTTGTTTTTTTTTGTTGTTGTTGTTTGTTGTTGTTGTTTGGAATGAGACAGCTACCTAGTTACTATAGAATTTCCCAATATTGCCAGGTGCCCGTGGCTCACACCTGTCATCCTAGCTACTCAGGAGGTTGAGATCTGAGGATCGAGGTTCAAAGCCAGCCCAGGCAGGAAAAGTCCGAGAGACTCTTATCTCCAATAAACCACCAGAAAACCAGAAGTGGTACTATGGCTCAAATGGTAGTGCTAGCCTTGAGCTGAAGAGCTGAGGGACAGTTCTCAGGCCCAGAGTTCAAGACCCAAGACAGACCAAAAAAAAGAATTTCCCAATATTAGGTGTAGAAACAAGGTTCAATCTGGGGGATATGTGATGTTCCAATAGCAGTTTTTTCAATGATGTAGTGAGAAACTGGGGATCATACAAGAGATATTTTTGAAGGAATATACAATGTTTAGCATTTGACTTTTGCTGACAGGGCCTGCTGAACTTAGCAGCAATCTAGAATTGCGATTACCTTATATCATGGCTGTTCTTTTAGCTGATCTCATTGGAGACGATTATGAACACAAAGTATTGAAACAGATGAACCTATTTGCAATAAAAAGTTTCCAGTTTTTCAGCCAGGTGCTGTGGCTCACACCTGTAATCCTAGCTACTCAGGAGGCTGAGATTTTAGGATTATAGTTTGAAGCCAGCCCAGGCAGGAAAGTCTGTGAGACTCTCATCTCCAACAAACTAGTCAAAAAAAAAAAAAGCCTCAAGTGGTGCTATGGCTCAAGGGGTAGAGTGCTAACCTTGAGCAAAGGGAAACTCAGGGACACTGTCCAGGCCCTGAGTTCAAGCCCCAGGACCAGAAAAAAAAGTTTTCCAGTACATATGAAAGATATTATTGAGCATATTACTTTAGACATTTGTCATTTTTACAGTTAGATTGGAAAAGTGTTAAAAAAAATATATATGTCTTGCCGGGGACTGGGAAGGTGGCTCAGTGGTAGAGCACTTGCCTTGCATGCATGAAGCCCTGGGTTCGATTCCTCAGCACCACATAAGCAAAAAGAAAAAAGCCGGAAGTGGCGCTGTGGCTCAAGTGGTAGAGCGCTAGCCTTGAGCTGAAGAGCTGAGGGACAGCGCCCAGGCCCAGAGTTCAGGCCCCATGACCAGACCCCCCCCATATATATATATATATATGTCTTGCCAAATGTAGCAAATATGACTACAGTAAGAAGATTAACCTTTTTTCTACTACAAACTATTCTTTCTGGAATTGTAGAGTCCCATTGCTTCTTTCCCTCCCTCTCCCTCCCTCTCTCCCTCCTTCCTTCCTTCTCTCCCTCTTCAAATGTAGAATATAATCTCAAGTTAAAATATTCAGGTAACTGTCTGAATAAAATTTTCATAATCAAGTTGTCTCCCAGCACAGTGGAAGGAAAGTCCAGGGAAGAAGTATGTTCTAGACATTACTGTGGTTTTTTTTCTAGGAATTTGATTTTTTTATTATTTATTTATTTATTTTTTATTTGTGAACATACTGTACAGAGGGGTTACAATTACATGGGCAGGATAATGCGTACATTTCTTACCAAGCATTGCAGCCTCCTCCTTTGGTTTACCCTTCACAAGGAATTTGATTTTTTAATAACCAGAATTCAGGTTACAACTCTCAGCTTGTCAATAACTTACTCATTTATCCATCTCAGATATATATATGCCTCTGTATATTTGTGGCTGAGCCACAGCACACCATGCGGTTTAAACTAAGAGCAATATTGTTTCAGTTGGAAGGTTATGTGGCAAATGTCCATGCAGGACGACTTTTCTATTGTAGGAAGGTAGATGATCTTAACTTTATTTTTGTTGAGGTAATTTCATATTATCCCCATGACTTGCTGTGTCATAAAGGAAAAGCCCGACACACAGAGAATCAGTATGCAAATGGTTTGAGGGTAAGAGAAGAATAAAACAACTGTAAAAAGGCCAAGGACAAGCGGGGGTAGAAATGAGAGGAAGATGGGTAAGGTGAACAAGGGCTGAGGAAGAAAATATCCCGGGGGTGGGTGGGAAGGGGGTGGAGCTGGAACCCTTGCTGACATCAGCCTTCTGCCCCATGGATCTAAAAGCCAGGTTGGACTGGTAGAAAAAGCAACCCGAAGCCCGGGTCACAAGCAGACCCAGGCTGGGAGGCCAGAGCAGGGCCAGTCCCAGAAGGTTGGAAAACCCAGAGCAGTAGAGACCCATCTCAAGATGTCACGCTTGTTTTTATTCTACCTACTGGGACTGGGGTTGCTGCTGAGCCAACCTTCCAGAGCCTGGATGCGGGACCTGTGGCTGGAGGAAGTTATTAAGGTGTGCGGCCGGGAATTTGCCCGCACAGTGATCGACACTTGTGGGAGGACCTCGCTTCGAAGAATGTCTTTGAGCCAAGAGGAGCCCCATCTGGAGTCAGGGCCCTTTGCAGGTGAGAGCCTCCCTCTATACCTCTGGCCTTCCCGCACTTCCCATTGGTTGGCTTCTGACTCCTGACCAATAGGAAAGCTCTCTCGCCTCAGGGGGCACAGACCAACTCGAGAACTCATTGGCTAGCAGCGTCGAGCCGCAGCTGGCTCTTAGGAAGGTTGAAGCTTTCCTTTCTGACTTGGGTTGGGTCTCACTGTGACTCTTGGCACAGGTCTTAGGCTGCTAGCTCGGCCATCGGGGAAGGGATACAACCCAAATCTACACCCAGACGAAAAGCTGGCCAGGTAGTAGGTATGGTAGTCACTAGGCCCCGGGACCCCACCCCGATGTTGCAGGAAGTGAGGCGGGGACCTGGTGATGGAGCCTTTCTGTGGCCCTCCCAGACCAGGCCCTAAAACGAAAGACAGGATTGTACATTTTGCCACTTTTCTTTGTCAAAAACGAACGAACAAACAAACAAACAAAAAACTGGGCTGTGGCTTATGTCATGGAGGTATTTTTTAAAAATGAAGTATCACCAGGCTTACGCCAGGAATCCTAACTACTGAAGAGGCTGAGGCCTGAGGATCGCAGTTCAAAGCCAGCTGGGGCAGAGAAAGTCCCTGTGAGATTCTTATCTCCAATTAACCACTCAAAAACCGGAAGTGGAGCTGTAGCTCGAAGTGGTAGCTAATAGTAGTAGTAGCCACTAGCTTTGAGCAAAAGAGCCCAAGGACAGAGCCCAGGCCCTGAGTTCAAGCCTCACTACCAATCATTAATTAATACTCTAATATCATGGGAAAAACCTTAACCTCCCATTTCTTAATTGGCTATTGAAGTTCAGCTGAGAGAGGGGCATGGAAGAGAAACGAAAGTGACTGGATAACTAAAGACAAAGGTCAAAGGTTATCAGAGAGAGGAGCATTTGCTCTGAGATCATCCATGGTTGATGACTTTACTGATACAAACTTCTAAGCTGTAAAAGCTGCATGCGCCTACTTTTGAAACACTTCTGAATTGAGTACAGCTTAGACAGATGTGGAATGTTTTATTGGAAAATACTTTCGTTAGTTATTAAGACATTTTAAAGGCTAAACTGCAAGCTAAATAAGTAACATTGGGAAGTTAGAATTACAGGCTAGTCTTATTAATGTGATGTTATGTTAAATTCAGAAAAAGCAAACTCGATTACAAATAATTAAATGCTTTACCTTTCTTATCATATATGTAATTCATGCTAAACCACAACTAAGATTCATAGGCTCTATGAACATGCTGGACACAACTAATCCACATGCAAAATCATTGTGCACAATAAATACATTTCCCATTCTTTTGTGGGATTTAAAGTACAATTGTAAAGTTATTTAATTTTCTACATTGTCAGAGATTTATTTAATCCTAGGTTTTATATAACTCCTGTATAACATTAATAGAATACAGCAATCTAGGAATTTCAGAATTCAAGCTCGGAAACACTAGATTTTTATTGCATTTGCTTTTTTATTTTTACTTTTCTGAATGTTAGTATTAGTGCTCATATTAAATATATATTAATATATATAGCACAGTAAGAAAAATAGCACTTGTAACACAAGAAAATGGAAATATATTAAATAACATGGGAAAATGTTAATACATGGAGATATATATCTGCCTGCATTTTCACTTTACATTTTACCTTGAGCAATTTCTCACAACTTTATTCTCAAAAATGACTATTCAAATGTGTGCATAGAGTGCATGCACTAAATCTGCCGTATATGACCCTGCCACTTAGTGATGTTTAGATCAACAATGGACCGCTTTTCTAATGGTATTTCAGGAGGCTGTATTGGAACTTAAAGCTTCTTATCATGTAGTTATATTAGTGCTGTAGTCAAGTCACAGCCAAGTACAATAACTTTGGTGTTTGCTGTTTGCAGAAATAAACTATGAAATAAACCCACTGTGCCGTCAGTCATATCTAGAAAAGTATAGCACATACTGGAAATGGATGTGAGGCTCAAGTGGCACTAGCTTTGAGTGGAAAAAAGCCAAGCAGGAGAGCAAGGCTCTAGGATCAAGCCCTAGTACCAGCATACACACACGCACACGCACACACACACACACACACACACACACACCACAAAAATATAACACATACAATTTTGTGCCATACATAATACTAGATAATGACTGTTACAAGTTTCTGTATTTACTCTCATTTTATTTTGCTGTTTAATTTATTGGGGTTATTTTTTCTTGCTGTAATGTGGACTTAATTCTGGGCTTTGGGCACTCTATCTACGCAAGCCATGCTGCCAGTTCTTCATTGTTATCTTAGCATGTACTTCTACTTGTTAAAATGTTTTACTGTAAACCAGTATGCTGAGTAATGCTGGCAGTAGCCTCAGACATTCTTGCTTACCACACCTTCCCATACCATCAACAGGCCATTTCAAGTGCTTGACCTGTACCAGGGATTGACCTGCACCACCAAGGTCTCTGAAAATACACACTAGCTTGTCTGCAGCAAAATCAACTAACAATACTTTCCTCGGAACATCTCTCCACCTTTGAACAGCACACAACTGTGTATTTTACACATTCTCTGTTAGGCCAGTCACTGGTTGCTTACGCCTGTAATCCTAGCTACTCAGGAAGCTGAGATCTGAGGATCACAGTTCAAAGCCAGCCCAGGCAGGAAAGTCTGTGAGATTCTTATCTCCAGTAACCACCAGAAAACTGGAAGTGGCACTGTGGGTTAAGTGGTAGAGTGCTTGCCTTGAGCTGAAGAGCTCAGGGACAGCACCCAGACCCAGAGTTCAAGCCCCATGGCTGAACAAACAAAACAAAACAAATCAACAACAACAAAAAAAACATTTTCTTTTTTTAAAACAAAAAACATTTTCTGTTAGGTATTTAGATCATTTCGAATTGTGGCTGGAAATAATTTGCTGTGTACATTCATTATATATGATGGAAGTTCTATTTTCTTAGAAGAGATTTGTTGTGATTTTAAAGTCTTCTAAAATAATTCTCTATATTGCTACCCAGTACAACATTTAACTGGAAATAGCCATTAAAAATACTGCCTTAGGTAGGGATTAATAGAAAGTTATTAGGTAGGGATACACTAGGTAGGAATTACTGAATGTATGATTCATATGAGTTTTTCTACTTCTACTGTTGATGGATTTTATTTGTTTTTAATTATAAAGTTATTAGCTAACAATTTTACCCCATAATGGGTACCCAAATTCCACCCTATCCTTTAAAAAAAATGAGATGTATTTTTGCCTAGAAGAGGTTTCCTTGATGTGAGATTTGACTAAGAAAAAGTACAGCAATTAATAGGTTTGTGTTTCAGACTGGGACACAAGTGGTAGAACACTTACCCAGTATGCTCAAAGCCTTGAGTTCAATTCCCAGAACCAAAAAGGGGAGGTGTATGTTTGCATGAATTCTGATAGACTAGAATATTATCTCTGAGTCTTGGCTTTTTCTTTAAGAATATAGAAAGTTATCAAATTTCCTTAACATGCAATAAGCCCCATTCAATAAAGTCCCAATCAATAATGCAAATAGACATTTGCAATGAATAAAAGGAATTCAACATAGGATATTTTACTGAGGAGGTGGGAAGTCAAAACTTCTGGCATATATGACATTTCATCATTTTGGAATAATGCCACATTAATAAAAGCAGAGCAGTTTTGCTCTCTGTGAAGAACAATGAGAATAGATCCAGTCTTCTGCTATAATTGAAACTTTATCAGGGTTTCTGATTTCTTTGTGTGCTAAAACTCTTAGATTGTGTAATTGTAAAGCATATGGTGTTAGGGAAAGACTCATAAAACTGAAGAATTTTTTGAATGCAAAAAACATTTTTTAAATTTAAATACCTTAACAGGCAGTGCCAGGGACATCGAAAAATTCAATAGATGCTCAACCAATTGAGTGTAAAAGAAGGAAGATGTCAGCAGGTTGGATCAGGTTCTCAACCCAGGTTTTTACTTTACAATTTGACCAACATAGCACTTAGCTTGTCCACTGCAATAGAAGATATACTAACATGTACAAAGATACCACAGAAGGTACTAAGCTCATATGGGAGACTATGATGTTTTATTAGCATTCTTTCCATCTATTTCTCTCTATATGATAATGTTGACAGAGGAAATACTCTGGGGGAGAAAGATCGTGATATAAGGGTTGAAGGAATGTCTGAGACTTAATCCCCTGTCAGTTTGATCTTAACTGTTGAAAGTTCTGCCTTTTAAACTGTATCCTCAAGGCAGTAATTTGCCTCTGTGGAATAGTTGATAACTTTCTATAATATAAAAAAATTCATCTTTAAAAATTGCTATCATAACTTGGAACCTTATTACCAATGAAGACAATTACTCAGGTTAAAAAAAATGAGTGCTTTCAGTGACCAGCAACTTCAGTAAAATGGCAAAGAGTGAACCATTGTTTTGATAAAACAGTGATGAAGACAGATGGCAGAGGTTAGGTGGAAGAAAAGAGAACTTTACTAAGATCCCAGTAGTGGAGTGCTCCAAGTTATAAGTAATCAAACTACTTAGATCTTAAAACAGAGTTGACTCTGTCCAGGAAGATAATGCTTTCTTTTATGTCTTTACAAACACTTGTAGTTCTCCTGATGCTTCTTGACTTGAATGGTTTTTCTTCCTCTCTCCACATTTTTTTTAACTTGACAGAACCTATGCCATCCTACACCAAGAAAGAAACTGATCTCTTAAATCTGATGTTGGAATTCATACCAAATTTGCCACAGGAGCCAAAAGCAACTCTTACGGAGAGTCCACCAGTATTATTAGAACTACAGCAACAATATGTACCCGCATTAAAGGATTCACATCTCAGCTTTGAAGAATTTAAGAGAATTATCCATAACATACAAAGTGAAGCAGAAGAAAAAAGTCTTTCAGAACTAAAATACTTTGGCTTGGATAATCACTCCCGAAAAAAGAGACAATCTGAAATGCTATTGAGTGAGAAATGTTGCCAAGTTGGTTGTAAAAGAAGATTGATTGCTAAGTTTTGCTGAGATAATGCTAATTATACACAGTGGATCTAACATTCATAGATATTTTTATGACATTTTGCTGATACCTCTGTCTTCCTCCCACCCCCACCCCCTGCCTGCCAATTATTAGAATATGAGAAATCAATTTTTTTAATTTGGCTTTTTCCTTTGGCGAAAAAGAAAATTTCTTTGCCTTGACATAGTTTCTGTTATTAATACCCTTATACAAAAAGTCTTTTGTTAACAGTCTCACTATACGATTGCTTGTTAATGCTGCTTGTCTAAAATTAACATTAAAATTTTTATCACTTTAACAATATGTTAGAGCTCACCTTACTATAATGTCAAACACCAAAACATAAAATGGGTCAAAATTCCTCCTATCAAATTAACCCTTAGGTCATATATGAAGAAAGCCACAAACTTGGATTTTGCTGAAAGATCTTAAATGATTTTATGTTGTTATTACCAGATCCAGATCATTGGGTTAGGGGCCAGAAGGTTCTTGGACTTTTCAGAGAAAAAAATAAAAAATTCAAGCATGGAGACAGAGGAGACTTAAGCAGGACAAGGCTTATCATTGAAAAGAAAAATGAAGCAAGAGTACATTCTCAAGCAAGAGGGCTTCCCCAAGACCTTGATCTTGTATTGTGGTCTTAGGACATGAATGTGTTCATTCCTAAACAACTGTTTTGTGTGTCATTAATTCCTGAAGGCTGAATCGTGCATCTTTTAATACCTCCCACACAGTGAGCAAGCGGATATGTGGCCATGGGTGGTTAAATGGATTTGGGACATGGGTTTTCTGTGACCTTTAGGAACTGTGGGTCAATATGATCTTGCTGTAAGTCGTTAGTTAATGAGTCATCCTGCTGTAAGTCATGAATTCTGTTTATGTCAGTGGGATAAGATGTGATTGGGGGGAGAAGATTGAGCTCAGAGTCTCATACTCACTAAGTGATTGCTATGCTATCTGAGCTACATCTCCTGTCCTTTTGCGTTTTGTTTTTGAGCTAAGGGCTCATTAATTCAAGTCTGGCCTTGAACTTGAGACAATTTTTTTTTGGTTACCATCCAGGCTACCGTTACCAGTTTTCCTAACTCTCTGCATAATGTATTTTCATCTCCAGGAGTATGGGCACATATTCTTAGAAGAGAGGAGGGCTGTGATTCACTTCTTCAGAAACAACTTTTTTATTGAATAGGTGCTGCTTACAGGTGATGGCCAAGACTAAGATGAACAGTAGAATCAGGTGGTAGCCTTACCTAGGGGGGCTGGTTGCTAACGAAGTTTATCTTGTGACAGAGGCTGAAAGTTTACCTTGTGATACTGGCAGTATTATATAGAAGCAAACTGACATTTTTAGACATGAGTTTTACTGACAGTCACTTAACCAAACAGTGAAGGTGCCTTCCCCTGGCTTCTAAGACTTCCCTAGCCATAGGTTGCTGTCCTGGTTGAACAGCAGCAAAATGGAGCCTGTCCAGTGGGCAGGTCTACAATGCAGCTGGTCTACAATGCACCCGCACAAATTGTGCTATCATTCAAAACATGCTGCTGGGTAGCGCATGAAGTCCATATCTGAACAGGTCTGTAAACAACACTTCCCCTTTCCCCTCTTTGTTCCTGTGATTTCCACTGTCCTAGCTCCTTCCTTAGTTACAGTTGCCTGTTGTCCTCTAGGTTTGTGGGCATTTTCATGAATTAATGTGCATTTTGCTTTGGCATTCACTAGAGCCCATGTGGTCTGACCATAAGTAGGAGACTGAGATATTCACTTGGCCATTCTGTCAGAGGAGAGGCAATTCTAGCCTTCTGAGGTCTTATGTGCTTCCAGCACAGAAAGGTGCTATACATTTGGTATGCATCTCTTCATCTTCCTTTCCTGCTGCTCTGGCCTTAGAGCTTTCCATAAACTTACCAAGATAACATTGGGTTTCCTCTTGATTCTATCTCATCACGAATCTTGCCACAATCATTCTAGACATATTTGTAGTCTGGTTTTTCCATTACCTACCGATTTCCATTCTTGAATAATCTTTTGCTCTTAGGGGAAAAAACACCTTTATCTTACCAAAAATAACCTTGATACTCATTCTTTCCTTATACCATAGTCTGTCAGTTGTAGCTCAGCACAAATATTACACCAACAATCTTTTCTGTGACAAACTGTTAGCCTCCTGGTCTTATTCTTTGCTACTTTCATTTTTTTGAAGCATCTCTTTAGGACAAGATCTTATTTCCACTAAAAATATTGTCATAAAAATTCTGTCTTTCTTTCAACCATTTTTCTATCTTATCATTGTCTTACTGGTACCTTTCTACTTAAAAAAAAATTCAAGCCATATTTGTAGTAAAATAAGACAAATCAAGCCTGTAATCCTAGCTACTCAAGAAGCTGAGATCTGAGGATCATGGTTTAAAGCCAGCCTGGGCAGAAAAGTCTGTGAGACTTATCTCCAATAAACCACTAGAAAACTGAAAGTGGCATTGTGGCTCAAGCAGTAGAGCACTCACCTTGAGCTGAAGAGCTGAGGGACAGCTCCCAGGCCCAGAGTTCAAGATCCACAATCGACAAAAAAAAAAAAGACAAATCAAGATAATCTGTTCACACATAGCTGCAGGTCTTATGCAGACTTCCGTGCCACTGTGATTTTTAAAAGGACCTTTTAAACATTTACCCCTGCTTTGGTCTCACAATTACAGAATGCAGCATTCCAGCTAGGATTGGCTAAAATAGGAAAGTCCCAAACAATCTTGAACTGAAAAACATTCTTAGTATAAACCAGAGACAGACAGAAGGGAGAGAAAATACAAAAAACTCCAAATCTTTAAGTGGTAACCCTGTAGTTGTAATTTAGGATAGAAAAGTCAAATTGATGGGCAACTATTTAGTCTTTCCTAACACTGAAGGAGGAGTAAACTTTCACAGCTAAGGCCTTCCCTTATCCCCCCTAATTATGCAGGTTTTTGAAGGACAGGGCCCAGATGAGGAGAAAGTGAAAACTGAACAGGCACATACCGATAGAGAATCAAGCAGACTTGCAGGACAAATCCAGGGCTCCTCCCTTCCCAAATGGACAGGCCCTGAGGGCCACAGAGGGCCCTGGGCAGATTATTCAATGAGACACAGCCAACCATTTACCTTCCAAACTTGATCCCAGCTATCTTTGGAGCTGAGGTTGATCTTGTTTCCAATGCCTTTTTGTTTGCGTATAGCACTGGGTGTCTTTGTTGGGTGTCATTCTAAGGACATGCCTTGCTGCAGTGGTCAGACTGCTCTCAGTTAAAGCAAATCCCTTTAACCGGGAGCCTTCCACTTGTCACTGTCTGAGTGACTCAGACAACATGGCTCCTAGAGGGTAGCTTGCCTTCTACCTAGCTTCTGGTCTCATCTTTCCTCCTGTGCCCTACAGCTTTCCTTCTCTGCTTGATCTGGGTTGTTAAAGATAAAAAAGGCATCTGGTTATTAGATCTGAAGGTCCCTTGTTCCCTAACTTTTGGGACTTCCTCCCAATGTCTAGAGCTAATCTCCCAATAAAGTAGGTCTTCAATACTGTGTGCTTCCAGGGACAATATTGGATCAGTAAAGGAACGTTTTCTAATGTCTGCCATGATTACCTCTTGAAGTGGGCAGGTGAGCAGAGAAGACCACAGTCTTGTGTTTGGACACTTGTCCAAGAGTCTAGGAAGTAACCACCTCGGGTGCCTACGCGTGGCATTGTGCTGTTCCCATGGTGAGAATTATTTGAGGTTTGTGAGCCCTTAGGGACTATAAGAACAGATTGTGGTTTATTTTTTTCCCCAAGGATCATTGTGGTCCTAAGCCATGTTTGTGCTTCAAAGCACAAACTGTACATAAAGACCTGTAAATTACATGGCATCTCAGGCCAGAAGGGACTATTGTGACTCAAATTCCATTTTCAGAACAAATTTCACCATTTTCTCATCTATATGTGTGAAGGGATGAGAGGGAGATTCTACATTACAGAAATGCACTAGAACTTTCCTTTTTAGGGCATCTGTGGGTTATTTGCTTCCAGGGTGAGAGTAAATCCCAGAGGAGAGATTGTCAGGATAGCTGAGAAGTTCTAAGGTGTAAAACCAAAGATGATGGGGCTGGGAAGGTGGCTCAGTGGTAGAGCGCTTGCCTTGCATGCCTGAGGCCCTGGGTTCGATTCCTCAGCACCA